GCACCTTCCTGAAATAATGGCAGATAGCAAAGGAGCTAATGTTTCCCTTGCTATCTGCTTTTTTTTTGTATTCTGACACTTCTTGCCGTCAGCATAAAAAAACCCACCAAAAAACAGACTGCATGGGAATTAATAGCTAGGCTGTTATTGCCTATTTCAATTTGCAATACCCAATAGCAGGTTGTCAATCAGCAGACCTCAAAACAAATTTCAGGTCCACGTCTGCTGATTGACAACAGGAGTGGATGGGTACAATAGCCAGCCTGCTATTGGCTATTGCAAATTGAAATAGCCAATAACAGCCTAGCAATTAATTCCCCTGCAGTCTGTTGGTTTTATGTTTTTTACACTGACGGCGGTCGGTGGCTCCAATGTAAAAAAAAAAAACAGATAGCAGGGAAAGCTTTACTCTGCTAGATAGAGCAGAGTAAACCTTTTTGGGATAAAATGTTTCTCTCACGGGCGTCCGGGAGGCGTTATCTTATAGCGGGAAACTCCCGGAACGTCCGGGAGAGTTGAGATGTCTGTATTTAGACTCCCAACACAGCTGCTGTAAAGTGAAGGTAAGGCTACAAAATGGAGATTGTTAGTATCAGACTGGATATGTATTTCTGTGACTTATGTTGGTCTTTAACAACTGCTTACATGTGACCCTCTTTTTCCATCAGAATCCATTTCTGGAGGTCAAGGTTATAGACATGCCGAAAAGGTTAAGAAGAAACGCTGCCAATGACTGTGATGAGCATTCATCTGAAACAATGTGTTGTCGCTACCCATTAACAGTAGATTTTGAGGCTTTTGGATGGGATTGGGTGATTGCACCCAAGAAATATAAGGCCAACTTATGTTCTGGAGAATGTGGTATTGAATACCTGCAAAAGTACCCCCATAGCCATGTTGTTAACCAGGCGAACCCAAAAGGGCCCACAGGGCCATGCTGTTCCCCAGCCAAAATGTCTTCTATTAATATACTTTATTTTAATGATGATGCAGAAGTAATTCAAGGAAAAATTCCAGCTATGGTAGTAGATCGTTGTGGGTGCATATGAGCATTCCTTTATGGCATCTTCTAATGTATGAATCTTCATGGAAAGCTACCATCAGAGACAGTAATAATATATATAGATTATTTCTCTAGCTTCCAAATTTATTTCTGAGCCTTTGTGAGCAAATCCTAAGGCTCACTGAATGCAAACAGGAAATAATAATATGTAAGTTAAACACATGATTCCTTTCAGAGAGATTACACATTTTCAATTAAAGCGTATCTAAACCCACGGACAAAAATTGTATTTATTGCAACTTACCAGCTCTTAAATGTGGTGGCTGTGTTAGTTTTCTCTCTTCAGGCCTTTTTCCCTTTTTTTTTTACCTGGTGATCCTGGCAGTAACGTACTTTCTGTCCTAGAGTGACAACTCACTGTACTGTGTTTATGGAGAAGTTGCTTTGTCATCCTAAAACAGAAAGTATGTTAGAACTAAAGAGCATATCATACTCTCCTCTTCTCCATAACATAGGGAGTGTTCTGTAGTCCACAGAGAGAGCTCAAGCAGGTCTGAGACCATGTTTGAGATTTCAATGCAGCATTGTCAGTGAACTACAGGAAGTTAAAAGCTCACCTTATTATTGAAAGGATCAAGGGGTATTTTTGGCACCTATGGAAAATATAACAAAATGCTTTAAATGAAATTCAGATGCAAAGGATATACTGCACATCATTAAAGTCAACCGCCCCTAGACTGGTCACCTCTGGCGCGTTTCACCCCAACGGGCTTATTTATTACAAATAAACCCTTTAGGGTGAAAGACATCAATGGTGGGCATTCTACGAGCAGGGACAAGAGCATGTCGGCTTTTGGATTGCATTAATAATTTTTTGGTGACATCAGTGGTGTGCGGTTGGTTCTTCGTATCTGAATAGTTTCTGCGGAGCATAGATGGCTTCTGGCCAGCATCCACGCTATATCCAGATGAGGAGACTAAAAGTGGTGTGGAGTGGGGGATTATCACTATGTTAAAAGCTTTCAATGGTATATTTAATAGATGAAAAGGGAGCAAATAAGAGGAGGGTTTACATATACTTTAATATCTATTTATAAGTTCACAAGAAAAATAATGTTCAGAATATTCTTCAGAATATACCATACTAAATGTCCTAACAACACTTGAACAGGATAAAACATCAAAACAATTCCATGTATAATTCATAGAGGTGTTTTCTCTTTTTTTTTTGGTAGGTTTTATGATAATGGCCATTAATTAGTATTTATTTTGAAATGGTTATAAGCCTACTGACTCCAGGCATTTATGTACAAATGAGGTATATCATGCTACAGTATTGCCATGAGATACAGCCTTTGATCAATAATGCACATTTTTAATCCCTTCATCAATTTGCACTTCAATTTTGTAATTCCTCATCCAAGTATGTGGAAGTCTGTTAAAAATGCACTGCTTTTGTACTCCCATGGTATGTATGTATGTATGTGTTCTGTATTATAATATTTGCTGATTTATATGTTATGTTTATGTGTAATTTAAAGCAGGGTTGTATATACTGTACATCCTTCTTATTGACAAACACTTGTTTATAACACATTACATTAAAACTGTATTTATGGGTAAAACACATCTTAAAACAGAAAGCAGTTAATCACTATGAAAGTGTGAAATTCATTATTCAAATATACCATGTCTCAAACATTCTGAACATCTGATCTTGCACTTGTATACAATTATTTACATTAAAAAGCTTTGTTTATTAACAGAATTCATTCTTTGTGAAATCTGTGATTTAACTTTCAAAATATATGCTTAAAAATTTGTATATTTTTTCCTGTTACTGCCACGTATACACTTTGTAATGTTTACAGATTTTCACTGAACTAAAAGTAAAATGACTCTTATAGAATGGGATGCATACACATGCTCTATTTAAGTATTTATAAGCATTTAATATACTGAAAACTATTTTTCTGCTAACTATTAGTATTACCATTCCACTATACCATCTTGAAATTACAGCAATGGTTGTAGTACTGTGTCTTTAGTTTCAAGGCTCCTTGTCTTATATTGGCTAGTACTAAATATATCTTCCAATAAAAACTAAACCATTTAATTGTCTGTAAGTTCCATGACCAATTGGTGTACAGTATTTTTTTTTTTTTAATCTCCTGCAGGTTCCTAGTATACAACATTAGTGTGCTCTTGCAGTTTTTAGCCTTGCTTAGTGGACTGAAGAATATATTTGTAAACATAATTACATTCACAAGCTGCAATTACAACTGATCATATAAGCTACACTCTCAAGCTATACTAAAGTTGTGTTCAACCATCATGTGATTGAGAAAATCCTGTTTTTTTTTATTCCCCTTCCCTATGTAGACCTATCAAATCAACCTAATCTCAGAGAATGGTCAGGTACCTCTTTGTAAAGTAAATTAATATAGCTTCCCTCATTGGCCAAGTTAAAAGAAGTCTATTAGAAACTAAATTTAAACATAACATTACTTGAATGTCCAATCAAAGCAAACATAACATTTCAGTTCTAGACAATGGAGAGTTAAATCACATAGTGGCAATCACCTGAGCCCATGACCTATACATGCACCATAGCAGTTATTGGGCGATCCAGCACTCCATGTTGCATTTTTAATTTTATGTTATATAATGAAGAATGCAACAATGAGGGTCACCAGTAGGAGACCAGTGGATGACCTTGAATGCCACCATCACTTTTTGCACAAATAGATAGTGTATATATATATATGTGGCCAGATTATTATGACCACCCCATCAGTACTTCTTTGGGCCACAATATGACTCCATGAGATGACTTCGTTGGGCTGCCTCGTGACTCCGCGAGATGTTGAAAGGTGATGCGAGGAATCTGACACTGCACTGTTGCCCTTCTGTTGTCTTCTACAAGTCTTGCCACTCTCCGTTCTGCCCTAACATTGACTAGTCGCTGACGGCCACAATTCGCATGTTCAGACCCAGATTTTCCGGTG